GTTGGAAGAGATGCCACCAGAGCCACAGAGTCTACCGCCGTGCGATGTGCTCTTGAGCCCACAAGAGGTGCCGATGGGACGACGTTATGCGGAGGTGTCACAATTCAAGGCGAACAAGTGGTAAGTGCAAGGGAGGTGAAATTGGGTATTTGCAAGATACAGTCATGTGTTTTAAGTAAATAAAAGCGAAGGGGAATTCGCAAAAGAGTACGCTGATAAGAGACATACATAAATCATAAAATAACTGTTACTAAGGTAAGTGTTTTCACTTTTCGCTCGGCTTACAATGCCAAACTCACGCTAAAGCCAGTTGTGCGCTTTCAAATGCAACACTGTATGTAATTCTTTTTTCTACGCCCTCTCAGTTGTAAATTACGACCCCATGTTGTCTGCTAGTGATTGAGGCACACACCTTTGTAGAAAGCATTGGGCAAAGCCGAATGCATTCAAGTGGCAATTTTTATGGCGCGTCGCCTTTACCCTTTCCCTCTCTGAGCGTTGGCTCTATTTGCGCATACATTTCACATATTTGCCTCCACCCAGCTCTCTGGCATTCGCCTGACACTCATAAAATCACGCTAATATGTTTTGAAAAATCTCAGTCTAAACTCGAAGCGATTTTGCTACTTCATACTTAATACAAATGTAGGTCCAAATGCCTCACACACGCCCACATATGCATTTATGAAAGTAATAAAATCCGTCGCCAGCAAATATGTAAGTGGGCTAATGGTGGCTTGGGACACATTTTAATGGAGTGGAAATGATATGACTTTTATGTTATCGTCCATTGTTGTGCATCCTTTTTTGTTTATTGGACTGAGTATGGCGACAGCTGCCAACTGCAACATAATTTTGGTATATTAAAGAAGACTATGACTTTAGACGATAGGCGATATTAGTTGGGAAAATGCATAAAAACTACATTAGTATGTTTAAAAACAGATTCTCGAGTTTACGAAATCTACTTACATAATATGTAGTAAATTAAGAAATCAATAAAAAATCTTTAAAAGAAACGATGGTGTGACAACTTTTCAAATCAAACAAAAACTGAGTACGTAAATCCCTACGCGCGGGAAAAGTGAAGCTTCATCTTTATATTCACCTTCACCTACATATTTGTCTTAACCGTGCTCTTCAATATTTATATTCTTCTTCAAATTCCTTTTCCTCTTCATCTTAAACTTTAGCTTCTTATGTTTGTTCATCATCATCTTCGTCTCCATCTTCGTATTCCTTTACGTATTCATCTTCTTTTCCAATTTCATCTTATATCGACTAAGCTTTCAAACGCGCATGGGGAAAGTTGTGTCGACATATCTCTGCTGGAGGGCGACCCCTCGAGTCATGGATAGCAGACAAAAGGGCGATTTATCAAATATCCCTCTTTGAACCTATCCAAACTTCGAAACGTTTATTTAATATCAACCCGCGAAATCGTTCTCATCCAAACATCGGTAAGGTTCACAAGCTAAAAATTAGTTTTATTTCAAATCTAACCGAGCTTCTCTCCCAATAAAGAAAAAGAGAATCTTGCGAAGGTGGGCTGGCGGAAAGAAAGTGCTGAGTGAATTCTACCGTATCATCTTTCTGGCAGCTATGACAGGTGTAATAAGATAAGAATACTACTACGTGAATGCGAAATGGACAATGGCCAATCAAAACGAAGGTTCCGGCAGAAGAATCCGGCATTCGCTGAACTATCGCAGAGTAAATCGCAGAAGGTCGGAGGTGCGTCCAACTGTTCTAGGGTACCTTTCCTTGCCCGTTCTTCAGCCTGTCTTTGTTTCCTTAGCCAAATTTGCCTAAACAAAAAGTACACCGACGAATTTAGAGGCAGATCAAACATTCCCTGACCAGTTTCCAGTGTATTACTCTTGCGTTCAGAGACAGACGTTTGTTTAATGTCAGCTATTTCTCCCTAAAAAAACACAATTCCACCCAGTCATCCATCCCAGCCAAACATCCCTTAAGGGAATTTGGATACAGAAAAGGCTACAGGAGCGACTTCTGAGACGTAGTACTCTGTATGATCAGGGATGAAATCGAAACCTTCCAGATCTTTAAAGTGTCCAGTTTTCGAGGCTATTAACCTGGTAGCAGTTCGTGCTGTAGTAGCTTAAGCGAAAAAGTAACAGTGATGACGCTCAAAACGCGTAAACCTTTATTGTACCTGCAGCTAGGTAGGAATTTATTTGCTTGGTAGACGCTTAGCGGTTGTCATTTTTAGGCATTACCCTAGCACCTTCTTTGGGAATTCATGTGGTTAACCTGTACAGTAAACTGCTAAAAGAGTGTTTACAAACTTTTACTAGAGGTGTGGGCTGCTTTTTAGGTGGTTCCGTGTTAATTTGTCGGAGGCTTGGTGAGAAAATTCCTTAGAAATGATCGACTTTCTGGTACGGATGAAAAGGCTTCGGCTATTTACATGACGACACCTCTCCAAATCTAATCCAAATTGCTCATATTTAAGATTTGACGTCACAGAAAAAAGTTTACCTGCCGCTTTAGATGCACAAAGAGACTATACATACCTTCAGAAATGATATACACCACGCACCCGGTATAGTGTAGTTTTCTCTTTTATGGAACAGTCCGATTTCAGTTCCACTTTCTGTCAGAACTTAATCTATGTAAGTATTTACGAATTCGAATTCATCCATCGGATACTTAGTACCCAATAAACCACTTTCAGACGCGTTATTTTATCAGAAGGGACACAGTTATATTGGCGTCTAGGGATCCTGCCTTCATTCATCTATGACGCTTATGATCTTTTGCTATCAAAGCAAAGTATCGAGTGCCAACCTCTAGTATGTTGACCCTTTTGGTTGCCATCTCAGAAGCCTCCTCCACAACTCTTGATGCATAGCGACTTTTTCTATCGCATACTTATCCGGTATTGACGTACAAGTGCCCATTCTGACGGTGCTTTCAAACCCTGATTGGTAAGTTCGGTGCTTCCGAAAAAAGGTCATCCTACCGGGTAGATATCCGCTGTACCCGAGTATTCGATGGATTCCATTTGCGACTGAGACCTATGAGAGGCTCAACCTGACTGATGATCAGCAGGGGTCATTTGACACCTCGATTCGGACACGAATATGAGAAGAAAAAAAATCGGCCAGCGATTTTTGGTGAGATGGTTATACATATAAACTAATTATATTAATAAATAAAAAATGAAATGATTGTTAATCACTCGAAAATCTATGAGCTTGCCTTCGACGTCCCCAGCACTTGATCACTGAAATGCCGTATTGTCTTATAATCATATTTTCATAAGCATAATGTGTCCAATGTAATAAAATTGTCGTCGTAGCGGAATGCATTACAATAACAGCAACTATCACCAGTGACAACTTAAGTAATGCCCGCCGCAATGAATGGCAATCATAATTTTTTAATATCACCCAAATCGAAAATTGCTGTGTGGCGAATGTGTGTCAACGGGCGGCACACACACGAGCAAACGCCCGCGCACAAATACTTCTGTACCTCCGCGCATACCAGTATTGCCAGATTTTCTTTTTTTTACATTATAAATTTCCAGAAAAAATTATATTTGCGACCAAAAAATTTTAACCTTCAAAAATGAAGTTTTTAAATTATTACGGTTTTTTAAATTTTATTAAACATAAAAAAAAACAAAAAACAATTTATTTAAAATTAAATAACACAAACCGTTAAAAGTATACTTAAACCGTTTTCTGTTCTCTAAATAATGTTGCATTTATTCCACCCTGCGTCAGGGCTGTCAAGATTTCCTGTTCCTTGCTCATCATCTTTGCTGGCATATTGCGCGCTCTTTCTTTAAAACTATGATAATGTTGCCATATAGGGGATTATTTGTTAAAACCGAAAATTAAAAACAAAATAAATTTATTTATCCTAGAAGGTAATTTAGAAAGCTGTAAGGTTGTCTGAAAACTGTAATTTACAGTTAAAAGATGACATCTGGCAACACTGGCGCTTACACACACATTGCTAGCGCTTTGCTGCTCTTGCTCGTTATCGCATTGTAGCAATTTGTTTTGTGCGCTTCTCGCGTACGACATGCAACCGCAACGGCCATAGCATCTTTCAACGTCTCGTGCTAGTAGCGGTAGTAGAATTGCATGCCATACATACTTGACAGTTGCTTTTGTTGCTCTTTCTTGCTTCATTACTCCATATGTGTTGCATTACTCATACATTTGCGCCTACTTCTTTTTTTTTGTGGGTAGCTGGCTTTGTTGCGCTTTTATGCGACTGCCTCCCATTTAAGTGTAGCAGTTGGCAGCTGGCGAAGGCGACTGTGTCTTTAGCCACCGCCTTTATTTTTATGCTGCTGAGAGTCATTGCATTTTTTTTTTCTTTCTTTTCCGCGCTTTACTATTTATGTATTTTTACTTTGCTTTTCCGAATTTTCACTTGCGTCTAGCGGCACTGGTGCACTGGGTCTAGCGACAAACACCCGCGAGCACATATTTAGGTGCATGGGAGTCATGTATGCAAGCTCAAATGTGCATGGCTAACAATGCAATGGCTTGCGGACTGTTTTCCTTCCACATATATATTTATTTTTGTCTCATATTTCTTTGAATTTCTACTATAATTTCGGCTAGAAGGCCATACAGTTTTTAGTTATTTATGTATGTGCATAGTTTTATTTTCTTTAGCCTATCTGCTTTTCGCTTGGAGTACAAAAGACTCTGGAGCCGGTGTTGCACGTAATTGCAAAAGTTGATTATAAAATATATTAAAAAAAAAAAAACTCGCCTATAAAATATGGCGCAATTATATAAGCTGAGAATGGTAGTGGAAGCAGAAGAAAGTAATTCATATGTGTAAACTCGTTTTCATAGACAATAAATGCATTTCATATGTGCTCATACAAATACCAATACATACATACATACATACTTCTTACTATATTCGTTAGATATATAGCCCACTATTCCGCTGTAGTTGCAAACTTTTGCAAAACTTGTTTAACTCTGATTTAGGGTGTGCCCGGTAGCACAAGTGGAAGGCGAATAAAAGCGCATTAGAGAAAGTTTTCTGAATGAGTTGGGTATGCTGTGTGGAATAATTGGTAGGCGGCTTGTAAAACCGTCGACAAAATAAAATACCTA